TAATTCTTAACCGATATGAAATAAAACCAATTACCAAAAAGACACTGAGTTCTAATAGCTAGTTCAAAGCTAATTACAGTTGATGAATAAATACTGTTGGCACCGACTAAAATATAAATCAGTACACATCCGATTAGCAACCAAAGTGAAAAGTGGATTCAGTGTTACAGCCAAAGCTTTATTTATATGGTGAGTGAGTACTGAGATCGTCGTTAATTACATGAGTAGCTATTTGCTTCGAGGAGCTTGAAATTTTTATTTGTGAAAAAATATTTAACATACAATCATTTAACACTCATCATTCTTAGTTTTTTTTATGAAAAACATTGTTGGATTCTACATCTTAACATGTTTGTTCCAGAAGGAAAATGAAAATAAAAATATTGGTTTCTTTATAAAGTTGTGGAGAAAAAATACATTAATGACTTTGAATTTCAAAAATTAAGTCTTGCATTAACATTTTTTTTTTATAAAGGACAAAACTTGTGTTTCGAGAACCCCTCCCCCCAACAAACTAGAGGCTCTAAAGAGCCTGTGTCGCTCACCTTGGTCTATGTGCATATTAAACAAAGGACACAGATGGATTCATGACAAAATTGTGTTTTGGTGATGGTGATGTGTTTGTAGATCTTACTTTACTGAATATTCTTGCTCCTTACTATTATCTCTATCTATAATGAACTTGGCCCGGTAGTTACAGTGGAAAATACTTTTAAAAATTTACCAAAATTTACAAAATTTATGAAAATTGTAAAAAATTGACTATAAAGGGAAATAACTCCTTAAGGGGTCAATTGACAATTTTGGTCACGTTGCCTTATTTGTAGATCTTACTTTGCTGAACATTATTTCTGTTTACAGTTTATCTCTATCTATAATAATATTCAAGATAATAACCAAAAAAGGCAAAATTTCCTTAAAATTACCAATTCAGGGGCAGCAACCCAACAACGGGTTGCCTGATTGGTCTGAAAATTTCAGGGCAGATAGATCTTGACCTAATGAACAATTTTAACTCATCAGATTTGCTCTAAATGCTTTGGTTTCAGAGATATGAGCCAAAAACTGCATTTTACCCTATGTACTATTTTTTAGCCATGTCGGCCATCTTGGTTCGCGGGCGGGGTCATTGGACACATTTTTTAAACTAGATACCCTAATGATGATTGTGGACAAGTTTGGTTAAATTTGTCTTCGTAGTTTCAGAGGAGAAGATTTTTGTAAAAGATTACAAAAATTTACGAAAAATGGTTAAAAATTGACTATAAAGGGCAATAACTCCTTAAGGGGTCAACTGACCATTTTGGTCAAGTTGACTTATTTGTAGATCTTACTTTGCTGAACATTATTGCTGTTTACAGTTAACTCTATCTTTAATAATATTCAAGATAATAACCAAAAACTGCAAAATTTCCTTAAAATTTCCAATTCAGGGGCAGCAACCCAACAACGGATTGTCCGATTCATCTGAAAAATTCAGGGCAGATAGATCTTGACCTGATAAAAAATTTTACCCCACGTCAGATTTGCTCTAAATGCTTTGGTTTCAGAGATATAAGCCAAAATCTACATTTTACCCCTATGTTCTATTTTTAGCCATGGCGGCCATCTTGGTTGGTTGGCCGGATCATCGGACACATTTTTTAAACTAGATACCCCAATAATGATTGTGGCCAAGTTTGGTGAAATTTGGCCCAGTAGTTTCAGAGGAGAAGATTTTTGTAAAAGTTTACGGACGACGGACGCAGGACGACGGACGACGGACGCAAAGTGATGAGAAAAGCTCACTTGACCTTTCAGGTCAGGTGAGCTAAAAATTAACTTCAGTGCCTTTAACACACAGGCAGAAGAATTCTTTCAAATACCGAGTAAGATTGTGACTAAGTTGGTTAATCTAATTCAGTACAGTGTTCCATTTATAGGTTACATACCAACACTGTGGTGGAGAATTAGATTCTTGGATTGTGAAATAACAGAACACCATCGCGGTCTATATCTTTATTCAAATATACAAATTTTGAGACAAGAAACTGATGCATTTGTAATATTATTCTTTTAAATTGAGATAATTATGTATTGTATTGTATAATTTCAACTGTTTTAAAAAATACTGAACATTTTTTGTATAAATTAATTTTTTTCAACTTTGGCAAATAAGGGGAAGCAACTCATATAACCTTACTTTTACTACAAAACATTTTGATTAATTACACCACTTTCCGCAAAATATATTTTTGTATAGTTTTAGTATGTTGTTCATAGATAGTAACAGACTTGTTTTTCAGAGAAAAACTTTGTGTTGCAATTAGTTGCAGGTTGTTCACTAAATTGACTAGACTAGATTGTGACATTTTGACTTAGTGTATATTCGCATGGTTGATGATGCATGCATAGAGTGTGGATTCGCATGGTTAATGATGCATGCATGGCAGGAGACTCATATCCTGTGGACGAACCCGGTCTTGCTTCCTTTGGACTTCATGCGATTCCCTCGGTTTTTGTTTGTTGCCTTGATTTGTCTCTTCTTAATTGATAATTTGAAAATTAGTTAACTACCGTCATTTGAATTCAGCAGGATTTTCTTTCTTAAAGCTTTAAATAACATTAAGAAAGGTTTTCTTAAATGTGTCTTTGTATTCCATGGCAGAGGAAACTTATCAGAAAATGAATTGATAGATGGGGACCCCCGACCAAAAAAATCAATTTATTTACTTGTGGTTCTAGCCTTTATTCAGTGTAAACAAAACAACATGTTGTATGATTAAACGTGTCATGTTCAAAGAATAAAACATCAGCAGGTTTTTATGAAATATGAATTGTCAGCATTTGCTCCTTATTGACGGACTCAATACGAGCAATTAAAGTGATGATCCTTTGCTGTTGGTTTATCAAGTGTGTGTAGCAATTCTGTGTCATAATAAAATTATGCACTTTATGATTTCTTCTATAATATAAATGCATTTCCTGCTTTTAAAAACTGTCTCTCTAATTAAGTGTTCCTTTTGTCAAAAAGCCGATGAATAACTCAAAAAGAAATTAGTTTTGTTATGTTCCCCGCCAGTACCAAATTAGTTCTATCAAAACTTTTGATTTTATATGACTTTTTGTTTTTCTTTGTTGATATATTTGTTTGTGTTCATAGTGATTATGATTATAATACAATGCTGTACCCTTATTTTTGACATTTTTACCTATTATGTCTGTTTGTTTTGTTCACACATCGTTGTCAATATAATGGAATTTTATGCGACTGTCATACAAGTGAGAGGTTGAGCTAGCTATAAAACCAGGATTAATCCACCATTTTCTACATAAGAAAATACCTGTACCAAGTCAGGAATATGACAGTTGTTATCCATTCGTTTGATATGTTTGAGCTTTTGATTTTGCCTTTTGATTAAGGACTTTCCGTTTTGAATTTTCCTCAGAGTTCGGTACTTTTTGTTATTTTACTTTTTTCTTTACACTTTTTTCACTTTCATCTCAAATGCCGCCGTTTTGAATAGTATATAAGGTAAGTACTCCGAGATTATTTCCATTCTGCGCTTTGTTGATTCTGTGTTTATTTTTACCTCATTCATTCTTTTTCCGTATTCTGATCACCTTGTTCGTATCGATGCTATAGATAATTAGTTATCAAAGGTACCAGGATTATAATTTAATACGCCAGACGCGCGTTTCGTCTTCCTAAGACTCATCAGTTACGCTCAGATCTAAATAGTTATAAAGCCAAACCAGTACAAAGTTGAAGAGCATTGAGGACCCAAAATTCCAAAAGGTTGTGCCAAATACGACTAAGGTAATCTATTCCTGGGATAAGAAAATCCTTAGATTTACGAAAAATTTAAAGTTTTGTCAACAGGAAATTTACTAAAATGACCATATAATTCATATTTATGTCAACACCGAAGTGCTGACTACTGGGCTGGTGATACCCTCGGGGACGAAACGTCCACCAGCAGTGGCATCGACACAGTGGTATAAACAGTTATCAAAGGTACCAGGATTATAATTTAATACGCCTAATCTTCCTAAGACTCATCAGTGACGCTCAGATCTAAATAGTTATAAAGCCAAACCGGTACAAAGTTGAAGAGCATTGAGGATCCAAAATTCCAAAAAGTTGTGCCAAATACGGCTAAGGTAATCAATTCCTAGGATAAGTCTTATTATTCACTATGTACCAAACATCTGCTGTTTATATTAATTGTTATATATTTTACTTTTTCAAGTACAATTGGATAAAATCAAAGCAACTTAAAATTCCCCAGATCTGCATTCAAACCCGGTCGAAAAATAAATATCGCAAGTAAGACATCGTCTTATACAAAATTACATGCGGAAAATATGAAAAAAATGGTCCCAGAGCCTTAAACAATCCCTTGGTAAAAATATGCAATTTCGATATATTCATATTTTTATAATGAACAATATTCGAGTTTTACCGAAGAGACATTCGTGGTCGAAATGCGCATATGGTGCGGTGAAATTTACTCAACTGGGTCGATACCTCCGCTGTTGGACTGTTTGTCCCCAAGGGTACCCTAGCCCAGTAGCTAGTACTTCGGCTTTGACATTGTAAACGAATATTGTGTTCTTGAAATTTGCTATTATGAATAATCGGAAATCATTTGAAATTCAGGTAATATCTCTCTTGTATAGATATAAGATGTGGTACAAAACCGATCATTTTTATGAGTGATGTCATCTCATAAAGTCATATAAATAAAATTTAAAGAAATAGCAAAAAGTAGAATTTCTGGCTTGCGAGTCAAACTCGATTTCTCATATACAGGGTCGGCATGTATTATTAAAATAACAATTTCTGTCTTCACATTGTACTAATCGATATAACAGCATTAATGAGACCAGCTTTTGATTGGATTGCATAGATCAAAATCCTTCCTTGTTGCTCCGCTCTAATGAAACCAAATATCCCCTGTTGATAAAACACACTGCAGAAATAATTGTGTTAATATTTACTTTATAACTTGTCTTACCTTGACTTTTCTAAAAGTGGACAGTTAAATGTCTTCAAAGTTCTGTTTACACAATGATAATCTAAAAAAGGTAAGTTAAAATATTATTTTTTATACTTCTTTGAAATTTAACGTAATGAAGTCGCTTTTTTAATTAAGTGAAAACTTTCCAGAAACCAGGTAAAAGTAAAAAATATCAAATGATCGATCATAGGGATCTAAAAAGAGCTTTGGATATTCATTATCTTATTGTGAATATTGGAAAGACATTTTCCTTTCTCAAAACCAATTTGCTAAAATGTTCAACCCAATTAATTTCTACAAATTGATTAACTGGTATGTTTTTTAAAGCGCATTGTTGAAGTGAAAGTTTGTGAGTATGAATCAATGACAATGTTATTTCCCTTCATATCTAATACCAGTGATTGAATGACTGTCTCGTGAATTGGAAAAGATTTGAACACATACTATAATATAAGGGGTACTGTTATTTTTCATAAATTACTTTGATATTAGAACATCTATCATAAATAACATTTTATAAGTTAGATCTAAACATTACCGTTTGTTTTATAAAAAAGAAGTTATTGTGAACGTATATTTTTTTGTTATAGTAATTAAGGATCTTTTTATATAAAAGGCAGACAATACACAATGGAATCTTTGTGCTTTATAACCCGGATTTGTTTTTATCTCTATCGATTTATGAGTTTCGAACAGCGGTATACTACTGTTGCCTTTTTTTTTATAGATTTGATTATTTCCCTTTAATTAATGTTTTCATTTTTTCTTCTTTTAAAATTTCACTTATTTAACAAATGAATTTCAGAATACGTTAAAATTGTTAAATAACAATTGAAACAATGTTCTTTATCAATTTGTGCTTACAGTTTCAAATATTTTATTGTCATAACAGATGAAATAAAATACGTTCTCTTGGTAGCGGCCTATCCTCGAGTGAGAGAGGTTGTGGGTTCGATTCCAGCTCGGATAAAATCTACGAATTTTAAACTTTGTATTTACTGCTTCTCCACTAAGCCCGCAGCTTAACGGATTAAAACCACGACTGTCGTCTAGGAATCAGAATAATGCGTTCTGGTAAGAAGACTGTTACTCGTGAATCCGTATCAGCTTATCGGTCTAGAAAAAGAAAAACAGGATTTATATGTATTTCGCATGTACATGTTCTCATCCTAAGTATTTGTTTAATTTGCTGCTGGACGTTAAACGACCATCAATAATAGCATATGTCATACAAAGGATTCAGATCGATGGTAAGAACGATTTTTTTTGCAATACACTTGCTTCATACTTACATTTTTTCACAATTAGCAATGAGCTAAAATATATATTACTACTTGATCAGTTTGTAGGAGACTGACCCAATCTGTAACTTTTAGCAAATTGATATTGAAACAGGACATAGACTTCCGAATTTGCAAGGTAATTACATAACAATAATTTCTGTGTAGGGTGTCATGTTTTAATATTAGCATGTTTTATAGCTCGTTATCAGTGATACATAGATTACTAGTCTGGTATCTTTGATGTGTTTTAAATTATTACTAGATTACTTTCATTGACATCTATAACGTAACTACAGACACGGGCGTAATGAAAGAGTTTGCATGAATTAACACCGTTGGCCTAAACAAGAAAATTAACCTTAAAGAACGAAACAATGTCCCTTTTGGTGTAATACCACCATTGATTTTCCCCTATTAGTCTTTGTTAAATTTGCACTTTTCAAAAAATTGTGCAGAATTTATCTTTGTTTCAAATAAAGAAATACTTGGCATGAGTAAAGTTTGATCCTGTCCAGTACTATAGAAAAAAATTTCACATAACATTTCATTGCATATAAGAAAATAACCATCACTGGAAGTTAACCAATCAAATTTTCCCCCTTTTTTAACCTGTATACAAGCTTTAGTAACCATGTAACCTCAAGTTTCCAAAATATTCTATAGAAACCCCAAATAAAAAAATAATGGTGCTTTGAAATACCCAAGATATATGTTTATGACCCAGAAATGTTTTACTGCAATGAAATGTAGGATCAATTACCTACAACTGTCAAATTCAAGGGAATATTTTTTTTCGACCTATTTTCGTATGCAACCGGATGTGACGTACTATGATTTGGTGGTATTACACCTTAAGAAGACTTTTTTGTTAAATAAACTGAATGTGACTTTTTTCCTTTGTTATACTGGTTATTTCAAGCATTCCTGTCAAGTTTTGTCATAATCAGTTCAATAGTTTGAGAAAAATCTAGTATAATGTAAGACGACATCTACAGCGATTCGAGCTAAATTTCTTCGAAAAATCCAAACCAAGCCGCATCATGATAGAATATAGTGTGGACCAATAAATGATCAAATATTTATCTCATCTGCCTACAAACAGTTGAATATGATACAAAAGATGACTTTAGGATGATAAATACTACCAATGGACCTCTTTGTCTTCCTTATAAGGTCTCTTTTGGTCCATTTATACCTCTCATTTCCTCAAAATTTCTACTTTATAGGCCAATAAATAAACATTTTGGGGTAACTTTCACTCATTTATGATAGAAATGTTATAATAAATGATTAATTGAAGTATTCAAGCTGAATGAACTATCCGTATAAAAGTTTACTCTCTCCAAGGAGGTTTCAATAAGTCCTTACGTAAAACTTAAATTTACGCCGCGTTCCAGAGAGGGACATAAAAAGCTTCTCTTTTGGTGAATAATTTGTTGTTACTGCTTTAAAAATAATTTCATTTACTTAAAACTATATATTTATTAAAGTATTTCTTAGGAAAATTTTCTAGTATAGCAGAATATAAGAAAAAAGGAGAAAAAGCTCCCCAAAACTCTAAGTATGGCTTATTCTGTCAACTAATATTCATGGTAAAGTCCTATTTCAAGGAAATTTTCTCATAAAATGTGTTTTGGAGACTCAATCCACTCAGAATATTTCATTATTAGTAATATTTCACTTAAATAGCAAGAAATTTTAACACATGAGAGTACTCACAAGGTCAAAGGTGCATGTACAGCTTCCCATATTAGGTGTAATACCACCATTGATTTTCCCCTATTAGTCTTTGTTAAATTTGCACTTTTCAAAAAATTGTGCAGAATTTATCTTTGTTTCAAATAAAGAAATACTTGGCATGAGTAAAGTTTGATCCTGTCCAGTACTATAGAAAAAAATTTCACATAACATTTCATTGCATATAAGAAAATAACCATCACTGGAAGTTAACCAATCAAATTTTCCCCCTTTTTTAACCTGTATACAAGCTTTAGTAACCATGTAACCTCAAGTTTCCAAAATATTCTATAGAAACCCCAAATAAAAAAATAATGGTGCTTTGAAATACCCAAGATATATGTTTATGACCCAGAAATGTTTTACTGCAATGAAATGTAGGATCAATTACCTACAACTGTCAAATTCAAGGGAATATTTTTTTTCGACCTATTTTCGTATGCAACCGGATGTGACGTACTATGATTTGGTGGTATTACACCTTAAGAAGACTTTTTTGTTAAATAAACTGAATGTGACTTTTTTCCTTTGTTATACTGGTTATTTCAAGCATTCCTGTCAAGTTTTGTCATAATCAGTTCAATAGTTTGAGAAAAATCTAGTATAATGTAAGACGACATCTACAGCGATTCGAGCTAAATTTCTTCGAAAAATCCAAACCAAGCCGCATCATGATAGAATATAGTGTGGACCAATAAATGATCAAATATTTATCTCATCTGCCTACAAACAGTTGAATATGATACAAAAGATGACTTTAGGATGATAAATACTACCAATGGACCTCTTTGTCTTCCTTATAAGGTCTCTTTTGGTCCATTTATACCTCTCATTTCCTCAAAATTTCTACTTTATAGGCCAATAAATAAACATTTTGGGGTAACTTTCACTCATTTATGATAGAAATGTTATAATAAATGATTAATTGAAGTATTCAAGCTGAATGAACTATCCGTATAAAAGTTTACTCTCTCCAAGGAGGTTTCAATAAGTCCTTACGTAAAACTTAAATTTACGCCGCGTTCCAGAGAGGGACATAAAAAGCTTCTCTTTTGGTGAATAATTTGTTGTTACTGCTTTAAAAATAATTTCATTTACTTAAAACTATATATTTATTAAAGTATTTCTTAGGAAAATTTTCTAGTATAGCAGAATATAAGAAAAAAGGAGAAAAAGCTCCCCAAAACTCTAAGTATGGCTTATTCTGTCAACTAATATTCATGGTAAAGTCCTATTTCAAGGAAATTTTCTCATAAAATGTGTTTTGGAGACTCAATCCACTCAGAATATTTCATTATTAGTAATATTTCACTTAAATAGCAAGAAATTTTAACACATGAGAGTACTCACAAGGTCAAAGGTGCATGTACAGCTTCCCATATTAGGTGTAATACCACCATTGATTTTCCCCTATTAGTCTTTGTTAAATTTGCACTTTTCAAAAAATTGTGCAGAATTTATCTTTGTTTCAAATAAAGAAATACTTGGCATGAGTAAAGTTTGATCCTGTCCAGTACTATAGAAAAAATTTCACATAACATTTCATTGCATATAAGAAAATAACCATCACTGGAAGTTAACCAATCAAATTTTCCCCCTTTTTTAACCTGTATACAAGCTTTAGTAACCATGTAACCTCAAGTTTCCAAAATATTCTATAGAAACCCCAAATAAAAAAATAATGGTGCTTTGAAATACCCAAGATATATGTTTATGACCCAGAAATGTTTTACTGCAATGAAATGTAGGATCAATTACCTACAACTGTCAAATTCAAGGGAATATTTTTTTTCGACCTATTTTCGTATGCAACCGGATGTGACGTACTATGATTTGGTGGTATTACACCTAAAGTCGTTAATTTGTGTATAGAGTTTCCCTTGTAAAAATATCTTAAAATATGAAGTTACAGTTATTGATGTGTATCTTATTTATAAGAATTAAAAGTAAGTTCCACTGAAATGTTGCTACAAAAAAAAGGAAAAGTTTACAATTGGGATGCTGAACTAGTCTCTTTTGTTGTCCTTTGTTGTAAAGT